GGAAACATGACCCATCATATCCAAGTATCATGCGGATCAATTTCAACAAAAGATAGTCCAACAATTTTGTATGAAGATAATGCTGCTTGTATTGCACAACTCAAATAAGGTTATATCAAAAGTGACCAGACGAAACATATTTCCTCAAAATTCTTTCATACACATGAGTTTCAAAAGAATGTCAACATCGATGTTCAACAAATCGTTCAAGTGACAATGTGGTTGATTTATTTACAAAAGCACTGCCAACATCTATATTCAAGAAATTGGTTCACGAGATTGAAATGCATCGACTCGGAGATTTTCAATGATCAATATCGGGGGAGTAATTGTACTATTTTTCCTTCACTTGGATTTTATCTCACTGGGTTTTCCTAGTAAGGTTTTAATGAGACGGTATTTATTTTTAATACTCCAAAATAACTATATTATTTTTCCTTCGTTTGATTTTTTATCCCATAATTTTTATCAAACAAGATTTTAACGAGACGGTTATTGTACAAATAATCATCAAATGGGGAGTGTTGTAAATTAATGAGATAATTATAGATTATTATTTAGTGTTATCATAATTCATAGATAATTCTTATCTAGTGTAGAAAATCTATTTCATTCCAATTGTAACTTTTGTTGACCCCAAAAAATGATACTAACTCGTGGTCAACAGAAAATAAGAGATTTGCATCTTTGTAAATCGAATCGTAATATACTCGAATCTAACTATTAGTTATATTGATGAATCAATGAAGGGAATGATCCACAACATTTTATATGTTGTTGTTATAATTGCTTTTCGCATAAAAAGGGGGTCGACCGTAGAGTGTAATAGAGAGAATCGAGTTTTACTTTGGATGTGTAAACTTGCATTGTCCCTCAAAGTATGGTGTGTAGGCTTTTTATACCTCATGTTGAGTCAACGGGGCCCGTTCGATGGTAAAAGATTCAATGATCCTTATAAGAGTGAATCAATCAATCAGGTCATTAATGCATAGATCCCCTTATCTTTTCCTCTGACATAGAATATGACTGCATAGGCGTGTAGAGACGACATTGGCATGGTTTTGTCTTGTCATTCATTTCGTTAAGTTCGCTGTTGGTTGACTTATCACTTCGTCAAGAGCGAGCTGACGCCTCTTCCAACGGGGGATCGAATGAACAGCGTTCGGATTGAGATGACTTCGACATATACGGGGTCGCCGTTACTATGCCACCTGTGGGCTCGTCCGCTTGCCACGTAGCATTTATTTTTACGACTATTTATACGAGTAACAACTTTCATTTTAAATCCTATAAATTAAAAGGGGCACTTGACTCTTATATTTTATTATTGTTGTATTATTTTTATTTCAAAAGGATTTTAATCCCGTTTCCTTTTATAAGTCACACCCTCTCTCTCTCTCTCTCTCTCTCTCTCTCGATCTGGTTTACCCTCATCTCTAAGAATTCGCACATGAATTCCGACATTTTATTGGGCATGTGATCGATTTCTTTCTCACCCTATAATTCTGTTTGTTTCTTTCGGGTTTTTTATGCTTCAGAAATGTTTTTTTTAATTGATTTTTTATGTGATCAGATTGCCCTGATGAGGATTAATCCGTGTTAATTTCTTTCTTGCTACATTTTAGTCATATGTTTCCTTGAAGAATCAATTTGCGTAACTAGAACGCAAATCGTTGTTCGATTAATAGCGAGTAATTATCACAGGCTTAATTTAGTGGAGGGTTTTATTTTTTTGAGCTAAATGTTTCTACTTTCTTTGCTACCAAAGCAAGAAAGCCATGAAGCTTTGCCATAGTTTAAGTGTGAAGAAAGAAATTTAAATTTTCTTTGATCAAATTTTAACTCGAAGGGTCTTTCTGTAGTAATAATGGTTTTATAAATAATTGTGCAACTCGTTTTGAATTGAAAAAACAAAGCATCATAATATGCACCCATGCGTACTACTCAGACTCGGTCATAGATTTCCATTTTCGACGGAATTCTTTGTGGTATTCTCAGGGTTTGAGATTTTTACATTAAGGTATTACCATCCTCCTCAATAAAAAAATTCTGGAATATTTAAGTGCATTTATTTGAATCAATGTATTCTGAATATTATTTTGGCATGGCTTTTTTTTATTTAAGGTCTTGACATTTTGAGTGTTTTACCTCTTCCTAAATTACAATGTTGTCAAATCACAATTTATAATTGTCCTTAAGGTATATAGTGTGTGGTTTAGCTTGGAATTAATAGATCAACCGTAGATCCTCATGGTTGATTTGATTTTCTTGGCAGATCTCTGCTGTAGTTTGATTTTGTGTTTTCATGTATTCATATCCATAGAAGCTATGCAGGGAAAGGCAATTTCGAATAAGTGAGAGGGATCGAGGGAAGAAGTGCTAATTCCTAAACATGAATTAGATATTGACTTAATGATTATTAGTTGTTATGATTTATTTTCATACTTTCATCGTATCTTGCGAGGCTATTGGGGTGACTAAGATAGGGTGCCAAACCTACATTTCCTAGTATCGATTGTCAAATTATGAAAACTCTTAGTTGTTTTCTGATTATCTGAGTATACTTTGCAGTCACGTGTTTGAGTAACCATCGTCCTCAGGTAACAGTGTCAATAATTTTGTTTGCAACTTAGAAAGTTCGTAATATGTTTGGTTAAGTGGATTAGACAGCATTGGACATTGTTCAGGAGGAAAAATATGCTAAAATCTTGTCCATTGTAACCTCAGGATTTAAGTTATGTTTATAGTATAGAACGCATAGTTTATGTTTGGATCTCATGTTCAATTTCCTCTAGAATTATTATTTTTTGGTCTGAGAAGTATCTAAAACTAAATTAGAGGTTAGACCAAAGCATGATCTGTAATTTTAGAATTGAAGTTGTCCCCTTGCAATGGTAAACTCATTTTTATGCTTTTCTTTTTGGCAGAAACTAGTCAAGTACTGGAGAATGGAGCTTAGTAATATAGAAGATTCATTCGAGAGAGTTGCAAAAAAGCAAAAGTTGTTGTCTTCTAAATCCAAAGAGATAATTGACCAAGTCAGCAGTGAAATTGAACAGGCATTGGTGAGTATGCGATCAGATCATGACCCTACCATTTCTGTTGATCAGAAACCGATTCTCACTGAACTCAAAACCAAGCTTGCAGTGGTTGACCCTATCAGTCAATCAGAGGGATCGCAGAGAGAGCTGAATATAATTCTCAGCAAGCATGTAAAAGTCCTTGAGCAAAAATTGAATCCTGATATATCTAAGGCATATAGAAAAGTTGATTTTGATACTCGTGTCATAAACCAGATCATTATCAACCACTTTTGCCGTGAAAGCAAATTCGATATCGTAGACTGCTTAATAAACGAGGCCAGTGAACCAGATGCCATTTTCATAAGAGTGCAATTTCAAGAGATGTATCAAATACTCCAGGCAATGAAAGCTAGGAATCTTGAACCTGCTTTCACTTGGGTTTTTACAAACCGTGCAAGACTAGAGGAGTCCGGTTCAAATATTGAGCTAAAACTTCATAAACTGCGGTTTGTGGACATTTTGCAAGATGGAACCCGAGAAGAGGCCATCAGTTATGCCAAAGCTTGCCTGTCTCCTTTAGCTTCTCGTCATATGAACGAGATACGGAAGCTTATGGGTAGCATTTTGTGGGCAGGAAAACTTGATGTGTCCCCTTATTCTGATTTGATCGATCCAACACGTTGGGAAAAGTTGTCCAAGGAGCTTTTTCAGCAGTTCTGTAATTTCATGGGGCAATCTTCTCAGAACCCTCTGTGTGCGGTGGTAGCTGCCGGAGTGGAGGGATTGCCAACTCTATTAAAATTGGGGAATGTCATGGCTGCAAAGCCAGAAGAGTGGCTTGCAATGAAACGATTACCTGTTCCACTGGAGTTGGGCAAGGAATTTCAGTTCCATTCCATTTTTGTTTGTCCGGTTAGCAGGGATCAAGGTAGCGAGGACAATCCACCAATGTTGTTGCCATGCGGGCATGTTCTTTGCAAGCAGTCGATGAATAAGCTCTCGAAAAGCAATACTCGTACCTTCAAGTGTCCATACTGTCCTGTGTATACTTTGGTTGCACAGTGCAAGCAACTTTACTTCTGACATGGTACATGAAGTTCATTCGATTCCACTCTTAATCAATATGAGAGATTTGTTACGTTATGGTTCAGCATTAGCCCATTCGAACCTGTTGGCTTCTGTAATATCGTTATCCAAACATTGGTTTCATTCATTTAGTTACATAATTAATTTTCTCAAGGTTTTCTGTGTTCTTGATTGCCCAGCGAAATTATGGAAGTAAAAAAACTGTCTCTGCTTGCATGTTTGTTGCCTAATTCCATCATATTCTGATTCCTCAGTTTTAGTGAAACTGAATGCCATTGTAGACAAACGATCCTTTGTTGCTTTGTGGTTTCTTGATTTGCTTGTTGGGCTGGTTCTTGATGTGATACGTACATACGCTGCGTAATAGTATAGAACTACGGGCTAATTTTTTATTTTCAATAAATTTATAGTTGACTAATTATTTTTAACGTTTTATTCAAGATCTTGCTATATGTACATTAAAATTTACATAGTGGATTACAGCATTCTACCATTTGTCAATTTAAAATACAAACAAGTTTTCATCCAAAATTTTTCATCCACGTCATATTATATAATTCATTATATATATGAATAAAGAATTTTACTATTTCTACATAAAAAAAATATACGTAACGGATTATATAATATGATATAGAAGGAAAATATTGAATGAAAAAGTTGATTGTATTTTAAAGATCCTTTTTACTCAACTTTTAATCGGGCAAAATACATAGTTTGCATTGCAAATTGCTAAATTAGTGTTACTATTTTGTCCTAAAATTATACACAAATACAGACATATATGAATAATGTAAATCCGATAAAGAAAGTAGTGACATTTGGAAAAGCATTTCTAACCCAATCTAATCTAATCTATCCGAAACCCTAAATTAGGCAGCAAAAAATTCACTAATTTTGGGAAAAACCCATCAATTTTCCGAAATTAGGGAAGGGTTTGTTGGAAGCCGCCATCGAAGATGTCTTTTCCATTGAAGATGGCTTTTCTTCAACCAAATGTTCATCAACCATTTCTTTAACAGATTTGGCAGACAGTGGATGAAAATGGGCACTCCACTCTGTAACAAAACCCTTAGCTAAAACCGATTTTTCCTCTTCATTCATTTTATCCCATTTCATCTTCACATCCTCCGAGTTCAATCCAATGAAATTGCACAATTCCACGAACAATAACTCCCTGCTTTTCTTTAAGGCTTCTTCTCTTTGTAACACGTGGGTGTTCAATTTACTGATTTCGAGGTCGAGTTCTACTGCCAGCATTTCGTCGTTACTGATTTCTTCGTTGGTGCATGAGATTTTGAGGTTTTTATGTGGGTATGATTTGAATTTGACGAAATAGGCGGCGGCGGCGGCGGAAGGGAAGGGGTGGGTGTGCGAATTTGTGGGCTGTGGGAGAAGTTTTGTGGAAAGGAGGTGAAATCGTAGAGCCATTTTTGAAGTCGGATTGGTGGATTGTATGAAATTTGGGGATGATTTTTTTGTTATTAGGGGGAATTTGTGGTTTGAAAGTAAGCCCCTGCTTGAAACCGTATAGTCGTTCACTGTGTCAGTCGTTTTATGTGGTACACACATGTCATGTAGTTATTTAATGCATTAGGACGGACTGCAAATAACATTATTCTTAAAACAAAACTATTATTATTATTTTGTTTTTTTTCAAAATTCATAAATATTTTACACGTATATCCAAAATAAATTAGTTTATAATCACCCATCTTCTGAAAAATTACTATTTCAAAACTCATTTTTCCAAAAATAAATTTAATGATTGCCCAACATAGGTGAATACCATACGGGTTTTGTGGAGCTTAAGGATTTAGGAGCAATTGCTGTATCGATCTTTCACACCAAAGCAAAAAAAGGATTAGGGGGATGAAATTAGCATGTTTAACTATGTTATGCTTACATAAAATGTCAAGATATGTTTATGGGTTGGCAAAAATTACCTGAACCATTGGATCGAATAAGAATCGAAATGAAATCAAACGAGATTCTACACAAATTGTAATCGATTCTGGATATTAAAAATGAGAATCAGCCAATTTTCATCTGATTCTCAATTCTAATATTAAGAACCAAAAAATTTAGATTTAACATGATAATTTCACTTTTTTATTTTTGACGATTGCACCAATCATAGTACTTTTTCTTATGAATTTCATCGGAGTACATCAAATTCATATTAATATGGTATTATTTGTAAACTCGGACAAAAATAATCCATTAAAATTTCATAGATGGCTTGAGTTCCTTTCATGTTTTCAAGTAAAAAATTTCAACCCCTCAAAAAGTAATAAAGAAAATAGAAGTGACATTGAAACATGTTTTTAAAGAACTCATTCAAGTTAATAGTCAAGTATTTGATGTAATTAAATTGTCGGGTTTAATTAAACTTGAAAAGACAAATAATTAATATCAATATAAATCATTTTATTGAATAGATTGTGAAAACTTCAGATATTAAACAATTATAACTAAAAAAATCTAACATTGATTTTCCCACCAAAAAGGTGGGAAAATCAATTCAACAAAACCAAAGAAAGTGTGCACGGGGTGGTAGGGAAAACCAATTCCCTAGAAAAAATGGGTATCAAACATGACAAATTGAAGGAAATAGAAAATTTTCCATGAAAAATATTTGCTATCAAACACAACCTTAAATAAATTAAAGAAAACAATTAAGGATAAAATGTTAGGCCACTGGGCATCCGCACGGAGCTTCCAAATTATACTGATATTTTAGCAACAAAACTAACAAATCAAAGTGCAGACATGCGACGATTCAATGTAACAAAGTGTACTGTTCGTCAACAAAGGACGTAAGATCAGACCGAAAGACGTCGAACAAAACTTAATAATAATACAAATCAAACTGACAAGACACAATTTCTCACACCAGATTTTGACAAGGTTGAGACCCTAGATCTCTCAAGGATATAACTTGAAATGAACCCCTTTAATTTCTTAATTTCCTTTTAGCATGTCGTAAAATTGCATAGGTTTCTTTCTAGGTGTCGTGCAGAGTTCCTGAAATGAGGACAAATTCTCTATTAGAATTGCATCTTATGAGAATATAGCCACATTGGACAACTGGAGCAAAGGTAACTAATTCATTGTTGACAGAATCCATTATCCTTTTCATTGTGTTGGTGAAAGTAGGAGTACCTACCTCTACGGCAGCAGCCAAACGCAGAATAGAAGCTTCACACCATGGGCGGCCTATGATTTGTAAGCCAATTGGAAGCCCTTGCTTATCATATCCGACCTGATCATTCCACATTTTTTATCACATCAAGGAAAATCCCATAACCAGTAAAAGGTACTATTAATCTTGAACTCGGTCTACATGTTTGTTCGGATAATTGGAGGTGTAGTTGACAGCATAATAGGTGTAAATCAACCAACATATAAAATGGATAGGTTAGACATTATGAATATAATAAAAATCAGATACTGCAACATACGGGTGACAAAATTAGGATCTCCTCGAGTTAAAGAACGAATAAAAAAAGCATGGTGGAATTGATATTCTTGAATAAGATTGAGGACATTGACATTAAGATCAAAATAGAAGTTGTTACGCAGTAAAAATAGGAGCGATTTGCACTTTTTACACCACTTTTATTTTTAAAAAAAAAATTGAAATTTCTAAACTGTTAAGAGAGGAGAGATGCATATCACTTACTGGGACAGATATTGCAGGAAACCCAAGAAGATTTGCTGATATAACAAATCGCATTAGATTTGCTGAAACAAAGAGCAAATTGATTAATAGACCTAGAAAGATAATTGATCAATAGTTTCAATTAGAGGGATGGACTTTGATCTTGGTATTCTAAATCAAAAGTTGGAAACCTTGGTCAGTAAACCAAACATAGAATTTATGTTTTATCTTTCTAGTTGAACTAGAATCAGTATCCACCTTCTAATGGCATAATCATAAAATGGATATACTTAATTAGTCCATGCATGAATTACTCATGGAAATCAATTAAGGTGGAATCAACTATTGAATCAGAGAAGGAAACCTTGCTTGGAGAAAAAGTAATCAAGTGACCAACCTGAAACTTGCAAATCTGTCTCCCCAGATTTAAGGGCAGCGGGAGGTATTATAGGTGCTGTCATGCTGAAGAAGAAAGGCGTAAGACAGAGAACAAGTTGAATAGAATTGCAGCAGTTTAAAGACAAAATGTAAAAAAAACTGCTGTCTAAAAATAATTATTATTGTATTCCTTCATAAACACTGGCAAGGACTGGTACACTGATATTTATAATGTGGATGACAGTCGACAAAAATTCAGCAGGTATTTCACCGGGAAAAAATTCCACCTCCAAATGACTCTATCAAGCAGACAAGATATCCATATGAAAGCTAAAAATCAACTCTTGAACAATTATTTAACTGTAAGAAATACAATTATATTTAAGATTGAAACACAATGATAGTATGAACATTTCATTCTTGAGGATAAGATAACATCCGTCCTACATGTGTCCTTCAAGGAAAGAAATATGAAAAGGAAGAACAATTTGAAAATATGTGCATCGTTAAGGGAAAAATTCAAGAAAATTGAACGTGTGCGTATTCCAAAGTATGCCACTGGTATTACTTAAATAAGTAGGCACTGGATGCAGTATGGTACAATTTATTTGACATTATCAACAAGAAGGCCATAATAAACCAGCAATTAAGTTCAGTATACCCAGTGGTCGGAGTAACAATGACATCCACCTCCTTAAAAATCTCCATATGGTAGTGCATTATCCTTCTCCTGCAGCAAATCAGATTAAATTAAAATTATTAAAATAATCTAAAATCTTATTTTATAGTAGTGAGCTTATTATTTAGAAATTTATGCATTTATGACCAATGTTAATCAGAAAATACTAGAACACATGTGAACGTATTCCTTCCCAGACAGTACCATCATAAATGGACAGTTGATAGACTAAACAAAAGATGAAAAGAGAACATAATCTGGAAGGTAATAAGACAGCTGAAAGTATATGGTAAAGTTAACCGACACAAAGCATCCCTTGAGTTTAACATACTTTCTGAAAGAAAATCCATGAGACAACATTAGCGATACACAATATGTTAACATTCAGGACAAAGGATATTGACCAGAGGGAAACCTAAAGAAAGGAAATCAGCCTGTATGTATCCACAAAAAGGTGAAGTTACCAAAAGTGATCAAACTCCGTTCATATTTAGTGCAATATAATAATTTAATTGACCAGTCAAGATCCCTGAATTATACACAAATATGTTTTCATGTATGTGTCATCCACTTACCTGAGGCATTGAGCAGCAACATAATCTGATGCTGTGAATGACCTAAACAGTGCCAGGTTTGTCCGAGTGTCATGTGTAAACTCCACCCGCTTTCTACAAAAGAATAAAGATCAATTCACATTATCAAATATATATTATCAAGATAAACCACTTTATCCACAATGTACATCCAGAAGATAAACTCAAGTAGGGTTTGTATACTGATAAATCCAAAAGGTAAATTAACATACCCATCTTCAAAGTCGGGAGTCAATCCACATAGTGATTCGGAGCCAATTGAAACAATGTGAGCCATCCGCATCTCATGAAGCTCTGGTATAATAATCTCCACTGCCTTTTTGCAGCAAATGGGAAGGAAACAAAAGCAGGGCAATATATATTTATTTGCATAGATAATTATCTCTGTTCCAAAGTTGATATGTAATCTAATATGTGAAATAAGAATTGTTTTAGGTGCAAAAAGAATGGGTAGAAAGAAATAGACTTACTTTGCATCCATATGTTTCTGATAAACGATTGAGAACATCCTCACACTTGTTAGCTATATCAGTTGAGAAGACATCATTAAACCACTGTAGACGGACATCATTTACTAATCAATTCATATTCAAGTTTCACAAGGTAATACAGTTTAAATAGAAGGCAAAGGTTATCACCTCTGTGTACTTCCCTAATTTTAGTGATCCCAGAGCCTTTGAACTCTCGTGTGAAGCTAAATCAGGCAAGCAAGGAACAGACTGCGAAACATCAGAATCGTCTAGATAAGATTGCTGTGTCGTGAGAAGCTACTTCAAAAACTTAAATTAGATAAAATGGAATGTCGAGTACAAATTCAATACAGAATCTCAAAACTCCAGCAAAAATGTTAACAATTTTTTTACCGGTTTCAGAGCAATTTTTTCTGCAGCGGATGATCCCAAAATTGTAGCATACCTGAAATGTGGTCAATAGATAGATTTAGAATCTTAGTTATCCAGTATATAAACATTAGTTCAACACGGTACTAATTTCAGCTATTGAAGAAATAAAGCTAGTTAAATTCATATTCGCAGAAAAAAGGCAGCAAAAGAACATAAACGCATGAAGATTGAATTTCATGAAGTATGAAAGAAATACAGATTGACAGTCCTGTGTTGTATCCTTCCACGTTTCACATACAATGCATCCGCCAATGCCACATTTGATAGAAATAAAACTGCCATTTGGACAATTGGACTGATCATCTAAATAAATAAACTATCCAATTGTGAGCCCAGTCATGATGAACTTTTGTTAGAAACCTAAAGCTTACTGTTCAAAAAACTGGATGCTTGCCACAATATAGATGAATGACTCGTGGTCATTTGTCACTTGCCAGTACGGTCCAGAGAATGCTTACAGGTTACCTTGAGGACAGTGTCCAGATGCTTAATAACTGTTGTAAAAACGAGGCAGGAAAAGCATGTAGCTTTCTACTGCTGAACTGGAATGTGATTCCTAGCATGTTGTGAAGTTTATACTAGTTTTCTGAACTTCTACTGTAAACAGAATAATTTTTTAAAATGTCATACTATTTTCCATTGGTTACTAATAATTCTCTCATGCTCTAATGATCTCGGGGAGCATCTTAAGTGATGCGTGTCCTCTTAGTAACCTGTAAATACTTCAGCTAATAAATAAGTTGCTGGCAAATCTTAAATTTGAAAATGACTGAGTAAGATTTAAGGTAATGATTTCTATAATGGAATAGTCAATAGAGGACATTCACATATGAAGATGGAAAAAGATATATAAAAGAATAACACTGTCATGATTACTTACACAAGAATCGCATCCTCAACCGTGGATGTGATGGGTCCAATAATCTCAACAGTCCCTGAATCACATATAGCCCTGCCCAAAAAAATAAATAAATAAAAATCAGAAGACCCAAAAATGAAAGTGGCCAAGTATAAAACTGCTATTTTACTTGAAAGAATTTCTATGAAAAGAGATGTTACAGAGAACAGGAGGAAATAGCACTTAGAAGGTTCTTCAATATAATGGTTTGAGAATACAAACATGTTCAAGAACAATTTAAAACTAGTTAATTACTATAGTAGAAGCTTCTGAACATTGAGGTAGAGAAGGTTATAAAGATGGAAATGAATAAAAGCTTTCTTAATAAAACATAACAATCAATTAGTTACATGATTTTAACAAAGGGTTATAAGCTGAATTCTCTATGTGAAAAGAGAGCCTTTTATCACTGAAAACAATAAACTGTTTGTAAATAAACATCGGTAAGGTCCCGATTTTTCTGAGCAACAGAAGTGAAAAATAAACTATTGAAAGACTGTGACAGGTAGACTATCACGGGTGACATGAAAAGGTGAGGAACGGATCAGTAAAGAAGCATAATGATATGAGGTTCATGAACTCACCCTGTCATATCAGTTCGTCCATATGTTGATTTCAATCCTACTACACCACACAGGGAGGACGGAATGCGAACAGAACCTGCCCATTTGAATTACAGAAGAACTAAAAATTAGGATGATATCATGAAAACGTGAAAAAAGAATTCAGAATCCAGATCTGATACAATTGCACAACCTCCACCATCTGTTCCTAATGCCGCTGAACATAGACCGGCAGCTACAATTGCTGCTGGACCTGAGGATGAACCACCAGTATATCTTTCAGGATCATGTGGATTTCTAGCTGTCCTGTATACAAAAGAAAAATATCAAGCACGACTTACGTTCAGACATGAAAATTGACTAGAGGATCTCTGACTTCTAAGGAGGAAGACAGAGAGAGCAATATATAAGGAGATAAATGAATGAATATGAAGTAGTCAACAAGCCGAAAACAATATACTTCGGGTCAATCCGCTGTTGCAGAGTGGCGAATGCACGCTTGATTATTAGGATACAGGAATCAGGATTAAAGTCAAGTAAAAGCAAACAGGGAGAGGGTGGTTTTCTATGATAAACAAACTCATAAATCAGATCATATGCTAACATGTTTTTACTTCAATATTACCGTTTGGTTTAAATAGATAAAGCTATCTACAATTACAAACACGCACACAATTAAACATACATGAATTCACACATCCATGCATACGTATAAGCGGGTCTGTGCGCATACATGTATAGAAATAAGCACGACAGAGCTAAAGAATTAAAATACAGTCATTTTTGCTAGGTTAGAATCATTGGTAGAAATTGTAATTAGTTAACAAGTAAAGCATGGGGCTGATAATATTAATAATTAAAAAATAATAATCTTTCTAAGTTAATAAGAGGATGCATGGTGCAGAGTTGCTGTTATGAATCTTCACCTATATAAAACAGAAATTAATTTGAAGATAAATTATGACATTAGTATGAACTCAAAATTATAAATTTATTAGCATAAAAAGATTTTAAAGATTCCAGATGAAGCTATGAAATTATTGAAGCTGCTATCTTGGACCACCTTATAAAGCTTGAGAGCACTTGACGAGAACTGAAATGAGTAAATTAAGTGCCTCCAAAATTATTAGGCTTGTAATGGTGAATATTTCTCATTTGTGAAGTTTGGAATCATCATCAACTGAACAGCAAGAAAATTTTTATGCTTGTACTATGCATAACATACCCATAATTTGGATTATTTCCTGTCGTGCCAAGTCCCAATTCATGCATATTAGCCTTTCCAACTAAAATCACACCGCAACAACGTAATCTTGACACTGAAACTGCATCCTTTTCAACCAGACGAATTTCATGAAAGAAGGTTGTTCCACCTGTTTTTTTTTTTTTGGGAGCACTCAGAAAATTTGTTAATGGACTTAAAGAATGGTCTAAAATGCAAAGTCAAATCTTTACCATTTGAGGGATAAGGACTGCAATCAATATCATCCTTAATGGCCATAAAAATCCCATCCAAGATTGATAATGGGTTCCCTGCACAATCCATTCAGATGGGAGAATTTACCTTGAACTAATACCAGCTACATGTGGATAATATCAAGTACCATATGAGATAATATGCTAATGTTACCTTCCTCAAACCTTTTTGTGGAAGCTGCAGCTTGCTTTCTTATATGCTCTGGATCGTAAGAAATCAACAAGGGCGTTGGAGGCTTCTTATTGTTGAACTCGTCCATGGCCGAGATGAAGCGTTCTGCAATCTATAAAATAAAATTTCTAATTGTAAATAAGAAATAATGAGAAAGAGGTAGAAAACTAGCATGAAAATGTAATTACTATAGATGGAGTTGTGAGCTTAGATCTGTATGCATGTGCATAATCACGAATCTTCCAGTAGCGGAAGGATGTAGAAGAATCAGTGCTCCAATTCGTAGAAGGGTCATAATCTGGAAGGCACTTCAAGGCTAATGCAACTCTCTCTTCAGCTTTTCCATCTTCGTCCAGAAGAACAACTCCAGTTTCTGATTCTGAATTATGATAATTCGGTAAATGACAGGTGTAGGTAATCAATATTTACTACTTTTTTTCTTTTCAAAAATATTAATAAAAGCACACCCCATTTCAAGTGTAATTTCCAGTTGTATTTCTTGTACGAAACACAAATCAACTTCTAGTTTGTAATCAACTTCTAGTTTCATTTCTGGTGCTATTTCCAAAACCAACATTAATATTCACAACCTTAACAATTAACCAACATCATTTGCATAACAACGGAGCCCTATGCTAATACCAATTTTGTTATCTTCCTCTTTTCACAAGCGTGACAATGTTTTTCCGTTCTTATGTAAGGGTTGCATATTACCATAATTTGAAAGCTATTTAAGAGCTCAACAGTCCAAATTAGGGAAGAATAATGAAAGTTACGCATATATAAGCAATTTAAGATACAGATCTTCCAGCTTGATTAGTTTGTGTGGAACAAAGCCTATGCCTTTATTTATTTATTTTCTTCTCTTTCTTTTACTCGTCATTCCTACCAGCAGTACTATTAGAAAAACATGCACTGAACAGCGAAATTGATAGATAAAATAAACACAGATTTTATGTGTTAAACCACCTCAATTGTTAGAATAGGCATATATTTATCTATTTTTATTTTCCATTCAGCACTAACTCTCACGTGCAATCCAAATTCATTTCCTCATCAAAAGCCCAACGTGTATAATTTTCCTAATAGATGTGCAAAGCTTGTTTCTAAGACCTTTGGTCAGCTAATACAATGTTGAACCACTTCGGTTAAAAATTGAAGTTATTAAAGAGGGGTCATTTATTAAATTTCCATATTCAATAAAAAATGTTACAATTTCAATATCAAGTCATAAAATAACATGAGAACTTCCCAACTAATAAAATAAATTCCTTTTAAAAAATGAAAATGGTGAAGAGAGTGAGATAAACCTTGAGGAGGAAACTCAGGCTTAAACATTGGAGGCTCCGGTATCACAGTATTCCTTAACATCTGTTAATCATAAGCATCATTATAAAAATTAAGCTCCCCGAGTATCTATTGCAACAAGAAAAATGCAAGTCCATCATTAAATTGAAATTGTAGATGAAAACGGACCTCAACCATTTTATTTTCCTTCTTCAAGCGAGATATAATCAAAGAGCCAAAGGAAGATTCGAGCAATTTAACAAATAACTTGAGCCAAAATCCAGTCAAATGCGGTGCTGCAATTGCAATTGAAATTGAAATTCATCAACATCAAAACAACTACATTTCATCGGAAGTTCAAATTAATTGGAAACAAAAACTAAATCAAACATACCTTCAATTTTTTCATACTGATATTTCACCGTAGCCAAGTCAACTTCCTTCGCCGGCAGCATCACCTTCTTCTTCCCCATCTTTATCCGATCTATCAAAAAAGCAAAACTTCAAACGAAAAATAATCAAAATTATCAAATTCTAACTCTGAACTTTCAATCAACACTCACATTTCCTAAGTCAAGGTTGTGGTGTGTGCGTGTGAATGTTGATAAACCATCGTGTCTGTTGAATATACATACCATACGAAATAAATACTGATGACGTTAACGTGCGCTGAAAATGATAGAACGAGTCGGGTAAGCGGGTGAGAATTTTATTTAAATATAGTACAGGTTGGTGATCAACGCAGGCAGCGCTAGATAGAGATGCTACGCATTTGTTCTGCTGGGGTAGTTGTCCTCGCCTATGGTGTTTCTTCTCCGGCAATCCTTCTAGATGAGACGACTGAAAAATAAATAACTGACAGTAAATTAACATTTCTTTTTGAAGAAAAAAACCCAACCAACTTTTTTTTATTATTGAAACCTGTTTGGCAATATGTAACTAATATTAATTTTACTTATAAGCAACTTTAATCTATAATATATTAAATATCGCATCAAGTGAGAATTATTTTCTGGACGTTTTAGCCCCACTGCAATTTAATTATTTCAATAGTACTTTACTTTTCATTTTTTTAATAAATATTTAATTGAATATTAATTATTAAACATGCATGCAAATAAATAATTGAATTGTATGAAAACAATCAAGTTGATTTATGAACATGTAATTTAATTAATTTGAATCAATGAATATAGAAAAAGAACAATGTATATACATTTAAACAAAGGGGATGTAAGTGAATCAACATGAAATTTAGTTAATTTGAATTGATAGATATAGAAAAATAATAATTTGTATACATTTAAACAAAGTGGGTGTACATAAACCAACATGAAATTTAGTTAATTTGAATCAATGAATATAAATCAATGAATATAGAAAAAGAACAATGTATATACATTTAAACAAAGGGGATGTAAGTGAATCAACATGAAATTTAGTTAATTTGAATTGATAGATATAGAAAAATAATAATTTGTACACATTTAAACAAAGTGGGTGTACATAAACCAACATGAAATTTAATTAATTTGAATCAATGTATATAGAAAAAGAATAATTTATATACATTTAGACAAATGCCGTTATGTCATAGATTAAATGAACAATATTGAAATTAAATAAATGTACATGAACTTGAATAATTTATTTACTCATATAATAATTGAATAGCTCACAAATTATATGATCTTTAATGATTGATATACTTCTAGAATGATTTATGATAAAATNAATGGGAATTAGGACAATTAATGTCTTTTTTTACCTATAAGGACACTTTAATCATTTACAAATTCTATTTTCCATTTCTTGGCATATTTAGGTTATCTAACTAAAAAAGATAGATGTTGATCTTTATAAATTAAGCTCCTGTTTGGTGCACATTTTGAAGGTAAGAATGCATTTTTACTGTTGATGTGATGGAAAATATGTGGTTGAAAAAGAAGGAAAAGTTATTGATATGATGAAAAATATTATTTTATTAATAATGTGTGGTTGAAAATGAGTAGAAGAATGGGAATGAAAAAAATAATGTGGACCAAACATGGCCTTACAAGCTATACTAAATACTATGATTAATTCTCAATTAATTAACATCCACATTCATTAATTAATATTAATTAGAATTTCACGTTCACATTCACATCCATGACACTGTTATTAATTCTCAATTAATTAATATTAATATTAACATTCATTTAATTAATTAATATTAACTAATCAAATTCAATGATGCAGTTTATTATTCATGTCCATGTATGCTAATTAGCATCATTTTCACTTAATTGAAAATTAAATTATATTAATTTTTTGGACGATTATAACTTTACTACAATTCAATTATTTCAATAATATCTTATTTTTCTTTTTTCAATATGTAATTAATTTACAAATTGTAATAAATATTGTAATTAATTATCTATTAATTAACATCCATATTCATTTAATTAATATTAATTAGAATTTCAAATTCAATGATACAGTTCATTATTCACGTTCATGTATGCTAATTAGCATCGCTAATTAGCATCTGATTTCACCGAATTAGAAATTAATTTATATTCATTTAATATAAATTATTTAACATTCATTGTCATGTACATATTTCTTGGTATTAATTCAAAATTAATTAACATTTACATTAATTCATGTATCGTATTCACATTCATCTTCATTTACGCATTTAGTTGTAATTCTAATACTCACATTCAAATATGCATTTCACTATCTGCGTGCGTGTATAATAATTAACATTTATTTTTCAGGAGCTTGCATCCATTATATTTATATCAAAAGAGTAAGTGGAGGATTAAATATTACTTTCACGACACTTATAAAGCATTTCGAATAACGTTCTGACTAGTTTTTAGAAACGTTCTTTTTGGTAGTATTTTCCCTTAATTTTAACATTAAATTTTGTTGGCCAAAACTCAAAAGAAGGCATTGACCTAACCTAACTAAGCCCTTTTTGGTTGATTAAAATCAGATTATCATCAAATTCTCATACTTTAAAATTCAAAAATGCTGAACGTGCATGGCCGACGTGACCCTGTACATTTTTTTTACTCTAGCTAAGCTCTTGTTTGACCCCCATTAAAATTATAATAAATTTTCTCCTCTTTTCTTTTCAATTACACATTTTCAAATTAAATAATATTACACGTAAATCGAAAAAAAATCCTTATTTTTGACAAACTATTTTCCAAAAAACACAATTTCAAAAATTATAATATCAAATAATGAGGGTCAAACAGGGGTTAAATATATCTAATCATAGTTTTTAATAATTAAACTGCATTTTAATTGCATCTTGGCTCATAATCTTTACACATAATGACATTTATACATCAACTTTTTCATTGCATTTTTACTCACAAATTAACATAAATTGTTCGTGAATATCGTTTATTTCCAAGATTTTCTTTCAAATACAGTAAAAATTAAAAAGATTCATTTATTGTATTTTTGAATAAGCAAAAAAAACAATCATAATGCAAAATAATATGTAACCATCATTTATAGCACGAGTGCACGACCTATGGACAAACATCATGATTAAGAACAATCTTTTTCGATTAATAAATTGTTAAAAATAAAGATGTGATGAAGAAAAAGTTAAGGACACAAATGTAATAATGAACAGAGGTTAATGACTTTCATTATAATTAAAATGTGGTGTGATGTGATTAGACGATTTGTGACAAAATTTCAAACAGAACCACTTAAAGCAATTGGTAATTGTTTTTCAAACCACTTCAATTTTTAAACCAAACCAATCCAAACCGCCTTTTTCGGCTTGGTTCTATTTAAAACCTCGATTTAACAAATAAAAAATAATATATATCAAATAAGTTAAATCACAAATATTAGTCTAAAATTTCACATTAAAATATAATTAGTATCATTAAAATGTGATATATTAAAGTTCTATAATTCTAATCATTATAATACAACAACATAATATAAACATTTTGATCCCTTAGTCATACTAAATAACGCAATATCTACAATTATAACACATGATTTGTTCTCTTCGTAAAGATAAGAACATAGTACATGAATTCACTGATTGTTGTTAAATGATATATGTCGATTTCAGAATCTACAATTGATTTGGAACGTGGGCATCGATGATGTTTATGATCACAATGCTAGGATAATGATGGTGTTGAAGTGGTCCGATTATATGGTTATAAGGGATGGCGGACGAGAGTGATGATAATGGTTGGAAGATGTCCCGAGTCTGATGAGTATTAAAGGTTGCTTAGTAGACTCGATAATAATTTGTTTGCTCCCGTGAATAATCAGATTGCCCTCCTATTTATAGGAAGGCCATGGAGGGATTTGTTCCTCAAATAGTGGTATGTGTGGACACCGGATGGACTCGGTTAATTGGGATTCTAAAGGGATGGTAGTTTCAAAGTCTCAAAAGACTTGGCCAACTTTCAATGGAGTAAGCATAGTTGTTTGAAGGAGTGCTACTTTTGTTACACGTGGTAAGACTCGATCTTACTCTTGGCTCAAGGTGAAAAGTTGGAGGGAATTGAACTGACTTGCACATTGAGAAGCTTATCATTTGTACTCCACGGGGTACCGTGTGATAGGCAAGACGTAAAACAAGATTGATAAGTAGGTTAAGGATCGACATTGTACGCATACATAAGTTTGGGCTAAGGAACACCCAATATGCATAAATTGAGTCGAGCCCAATGGACAATTTTGGACTACTACAATATAAAACAACCAATAAAAGAAAATGAATAGAAAGATCAAATACAATAATACATTTTATAACTTTTTGTGAATTATTTAATGTTTCTGCCTCATTCAAATATTGATGCATTACTATAGGTTTTTGTACTATGCAACAAATTTTCAGGGCAAATCACCGTCTTAACCATATTTGCACTCAACGAACTTTTAAAAGGAATCAAGAATTCGACCACTAGTAGAAAATGCAGATTCGGAAACAATTATGAATTTTTTAACATCTAACACGTCTTTAATAGTTCGGGGACAATCTTGTACTTATTTGCATTCAATTTCCACCAAAGTAAAATTAATATGTCGAAAAGCTTAACGATCACTCAAGTAATCCACAAAATAACAATGAAATCTAAAAACTAAGTTAAAATGTAAATAATTAATTGAGTGACTTGATCATGAAATTGTGACCCAAATAATAAAAATTGTTGTCTGCTAAAAAATTGGGGGAGATTGGCACAAATTTGAACAAAACAACACAACTACCAATAAAATATGAAAAACAATTACTAAAAAAAAAAATTTGAATAAACTGACCTGAAAATTTAATCAAAATTCAAGAAAATTATTAATAGAAGGGAAATAAATGTGTGAATTTGAATTAAAATCTAGATTTAATAGTCTACTCAATTATAATGGACTATCGATAAATATAAACAATAGTAGTTGTTCAATACTTCACCCACTTTGAGAGTTTTGTACTCACAGTTGTCTAGGTATTTGTGTATGATTTAATTAATTAATTGAAATGGATAATTGTATATTTAGGTATTGAGTTTAATTATGTTATACCTAATGTGGGTATATCTTTTTAACTGGGACGTATTCCGTTTTAATTGGGTCGAATAAAATTTAAATTAATTTATTTTTAAATTTTTTTGTAAACAATTTGATGGTTCGAAACAGTTTGCAAAGATTAAAACATAAACAAAACCACTTTGAAACAATTTGATTTGGTTTGACGGATCCACGGAGATCAAACCAACGATTTAAAAGAAAAAAAAAAGGATTTCGATTTGATTTTGCGATTTGACGGTTTAGTTGTCCAGCTCTAACATAACCAACATGTTACTCTCGGCTTGCGTGAGTAATGACTATTTTACCCC